GTCATGAAGTGGTAGTTTTCAAGTTAACAGCTACCTTTTACCTTTAGTTCAGGGGAGATTGGCAAAATGATTTTAGTGAAGGTGCACTGGGTTTAAAAACACAGCAGAGCCTGTATCACCACATGACATCAGAAGGTTTGACAGACAGTGAATAAAACAACACATAACTCTATATGTTTGGTATGTTTTTGATGAGGAAATAGCTCAATACGGGGACTTTCAATGCTTCACTAAAAGAATGTATAGCGTGATTCACTTCCTCATCTGCTTAAAATTTATCACGTTTAAACCACACATTTACATTCCTCACGCTGATGTCAGTTTGAATAAAAATGGATGTGCACGAATAATACACACTGCTGGAGACAAACTGCTTTCCTATTTACAGTAAACGCATGCAATATTGAACATGAATGAAATAATCTGAGCATTATGGAATCCCATGTTATCACCGCCTCTGGGCCATTTACACATACAGGGGCTACAGACCTCAGCCTCTGTCTCTCTCTATCAGATCCAGTCTTACAGAGTTCACTGCCAATGACTCAATCCCAACAGTGAATCATCAGCCTCTTGTCCAAAAACAGACCCCATAGTAATCTGTCAGCACGCCGTAACATTGTGTGTTGACATACAAAGCGAGCGTCCATGAATCATAATAGGGGAGAAAAGTTTCAGTTATAGTAAAATGGGCTCACAAGCTGTTACGTCTACCGTGATTATATGAGAGTAACAAGCGTGAATGCGTGAATGTGCATGTACAGTTTTTGTATTATGTATTGAATTGGGGTGGACCAAACAGAAAGGCAAAGACAAGGTGTATAAATAAGTTTAAATTTAATAAAGTCAAAAAAAGATGTCATTTAACAAAGGCTCAAATTAGGTAAATCGCTAACAAAAAGCCAGGCCCAACTGGGGTAACTTAAAACAAACTGAACAGAACAAAACGAACCAAACCACACAAAGGAACAGCGGTGTTTAAATACATGAGGACCAACTAAAACTGAACACACTAAATAATTAAAACTACTAACTTAATCAAATAACAAGAAGGCAAATAAGTGCAATACAAAAAATAATAAGTGTTAATAAAGTTACATTAAACAAACAAACTTAGTAAAACAAACTAAATAGTGCTCCCCCTTTGTTCGGCATGGATGGTCTCTGCCAAAGGTCCTCCATCTGGCCACTTGAACAAAACAAAAAAAGAGCAAGTGTAAGTAAATAATTCAGACTTATATTAACTAAAATGTGTGCACCCAAATTAGAAAATAAGTCTAAATAAAGGAATTAAATTATGTGCTGTAATTAACTTAATGTAAATGAAACACTGTGGAGTGATTTCAGAAGTATCCACCACATGAATAATTGTACTTTTTTGTTGTTTCCTTTGTGTTTCTTCAGATATTGATAATGAATGCTGATAATGGACTGCAGGAGCTCAGTTGGTAGAGTTTGTCCAAAGGTTGCCAGTTCTAAGTCTGCTCTCAACATAAACACTGTCGGTTGAGTGGTCTGATCCACTGTTGTTGTGTCCTTGGGCAAGACACCACCTCACCCCCAGTGTCTGCATACACTGGTGTATGAATGTGTGTGTGAAAGGGCCTTTGAGTGCCAGAAGGTGGAGAAGCGCTATATAAAAACGTGACAATTTATCATTACACTATGAAACTTTTCTGGTTTGATGTCTGTTTGATGTCCGCTTGGAATGTTCCACAGGGTGGCATTAAACTTACACATCTTATTTGTTTGGTTATAGGTAGAAAATAGTACCAGGAGTAGGGCTGCCTTTCAACAGATGTGACCTGTAACTTGCCCTGGGGGTTGCATATACTTGTCTCCATGGAAATGTACAAATTTAATGTCATACTTTGGAACATTTTAGTCAAAGCAACATCTCCAAAGAGACAAGCAGAACAACAGAGAAGTTACACTAGTTCACCTTTAAATCCCTTTCTGTGCATTGACCCAAAATGAGTCATGGCCTTGCCCTTGGTCTATGTGCAATTCCTTGAGCAGCTGTATTCTTTCATATTCATTCATAAAGGTGAAATATTTCTAACTTAAACATGAATGTGTAGCTACTATACAAAACAGGATGTTTGTATCTTCTTGCAAACAAAGATGTTCTGTTGAAAAATATCACATCTGTGCTGTATTTCAGGGTCAAGTGAGTAGGAGACAAGCTGCCGAGAAAGCTTCAAATGAGATTCACACAAGCCAAACAGAATACATTTTCTGGACACAATGACAGGAAAACAATTCTTAAATTCATGGCACAAGTTGAATTTAAAAGTGCACTAGCTTACTTTTCTTTTGGGGGGTTCCATCACCTCTTGAGATGTTATTGCTTTGCCTGGAATGTTCCTCTGTATAGCATTAATCTTGTGTTTTAAAACATTGTATTGCTCAAAAATACCTTGAAAAACATGCATTCTTGCTGTGAGTATTGATCCCAGTCCACAGATATGACCTGTAAATGTGGCCTGGTGGCATCACTCGCTTGCCTCCATGGAGATTTTAGTTTAAAAATATTAATTGTGATATGTGAGCTACTGTGTCCCAATAATTCCCTTTGTGAATCAATAAAGTTTGTCTAAGTCTAAGTCAAAGTTTAATGCCATAGTTTGGAACATTCCAGGTAAAGCAATAACATTATCCATGAAAAGCTTCTGAAAAATGGCATAGTGAACCTTTAAAATAGTATTAGTCGTATTTCATATCCGTCATTGTGATTTAAAATATATCACCCATTTGATTCCTGGCCCCTACAATCTGGCTGTAATGTTTTAAGCTACACTGCTAAAGGTCAGACGACAGCGGGCATAGTCTTCATCCTTTCTCAGATGAAGTAAATTCAGTGTGCTATAAAATGTCACATTTATTCCATTGTGAGTGTGTGATCATCTCTGTTGTGTAAAACCATTACCTCTGGCACAGAATAGCACCTCGGCCCATAGGTCGGCCTGCCCAGGTCATGGCATTTGAGTGCAACAAATGGTCTAAATATTTCTCTAGATTTAAAATAAGCAAGTTTTCATTTTAACTGGGTGCTGTTGGGGAAATGAAAAGGTTTTAGCGAGGCAGGTCAAGTTTATTTTACACTTAGACAAAATTTACTGATCCACAAAAAAACGTATTTAGACACAGTAGCTCACACAACACAATAAATTATAATAACAAAGAGCAATCATAAAATGGTAATAATTCATTCAAAATAAGTAGCAAAAATAGCATGAGTTTGGTGTAAATAAAGCATTATTATATGTACAAGTAATAATAATATAGAAATACAAATATATCTCAGCTATATACATGAGGTGGGTAAGGGGAAAACAGTGCAAAGATGAAATAATGATTAACAGGACATAGGTTTGTCTATTACATTAGGGCAAATTATTGTACAGTTGTATGGAGTATAGTGTGAATGTAGTCCTGTATCTCTCACTGTAGGAGCCTGATATTTGTACATAGTAATTCAAAGTGCTTTACAGAATAAGAAAGACTTTAAAATCACCATACACACAAACCAAAACATAAATAATCATTATAAAAGTAACATTAAAGGAGAAGAGTGCAGAGTAAAAAACTTCCAGCATTTGCCTCTAAAACATGAATTTGTTATACTGACCCCTTGTGGCTAAAGTCATTATTGTTGGTGAGATTTGACACTAATAACAAGAAAGTCCATGCATCATATATCATGCTATTTATTTATTTATTTATTTGTTTGTTTGTTTACTTACATACATAAAGGTGCAATATTTAACTTTTCTGGTGGGGGTCCTCCTCTTTCTTGTCTCCAATGAAATGTTATTAATTAGCCTGGAATGTTCCATAGTGTGTCATTAAACTTGTATATACTGTATATAAGCAGGTGACACCAAACCATATCTGTGGAGAGGCGACCCACTCACCTTACATATAACAGGATCATAAAGCGGGAAAAATACTATATTACTGGACCTAAAAAGATCCCATGTTTTAGTCAGTCTTTGATGCCATTTTTTTAATAGGTGTCATTACTGGAACTAACCGGTCATATCTGTTTATCACGGTGTTAAAATACAAATCCCAAACAAGGATTTGGGGTGCCATTTAGTTTTATTCAAGACATGAAATTAATTACAGTCTCCTCTTTTTTCTTATTGGCCTCAGTTGCATGTGACAGTGTGAAAAGTGGGACCTTGCTTTCCCCAAACTGTCAGGCGGTAATTGGCCGGCAGTTTCCTTTAATAGCAGGCTGCCACGGGGACGGCAAACACCTCTTTAATTGTGTACTAAATAATTGGTTTCGCGTGAATGGAGAAGTCTTGTTGTAACCTTGAGTCCTATCTTTCACAGGGCTGTGTCACTGGAACCGGAAAAGATGTGTTTTTTGGAGAGTGAAATCAATGTTAAATAATATAAACAGTATCTTTTGCCTTTTTGCCTATTCAGGATCCAAAATGTGCTCATCATTTTATCAGACAAAATAGTTATTATAAAAATTTTATGAAATTACAAAAAAAATAGTTGAATATAAACCCATTAAACACGCAGCAAAGGTGTTTTTATTTTGATAATTTGGGCAGAAAGTAGCAGGAGTAGGAAGAAATAAAATATATATTTACTTAAATGTAATCAAGTGAAAAATGTAATATCGCATGGTGCATATTTTTGTTTTTTTCTGAAATTCACAATCCACAGTTCCACAATTCTTCCTTTATCAGTGTTATTTATATGTGTTTTTTTCGTCTGTTTTGCAGGTTTTTCACATCAGATGAGGAGCTGCACCGAAATGTGAAGAATGATGACTTTGGAGCAGAAAAGCACATTTGAAGAAATTTAACCTGAAGCTACACATAAAATACTGAACTGAATTTGGATGTGGAAATATTATCTATCATACGAGTCAATGAAGATAACAGAAATAAGGATTTTGGCTGGCTTGGCAACAGGACCGTCCCGGCTGAATTGAACCCAAACCTCAATTTCCCAGTGTTCTCTTGTGTGATCACATGACTCTCCGAAAAGCACCAATGGCCTGCAGCAGAGGCGTGGTGACGAGTGCCTTCTACTGGTCTGTAGCCATCATCTGTTTGACTCAAATGGGCGGAGTTAAACCGGACTGCTGGTTAATCGAGGGCGAAAAGGGCTTTGTGTGGCTAGCGATTTGTAGCCAGAACCAACCACCTTTCGAGGCCATCCCCCAGCACATCAACAGCACCATTGTGGACCTTCGTTTGAATGAAAACAAAATCAAAAGCATACACTACTCCTCGCTCAGCCGCTTTGCCAACTTGACCTACCTGAACTTGACCAAGAACGACATCTCCTATATCGAAGATGGAGCTTTTTCCGCTCAGTTCAACCTCCAAGTCCTGCAAATGGGATTCAACAAGATGCGTAACCTGACAGAAGGAGTCCTCCGTGGACTTGGGAAGCTACAGTACCTCTACCTCCAGGCCAATCTGATCGAGACTGTGACACCCAATGCCTTCTGGGAATGCCCCAACATCGAGAACATAGATTTGTCCATGAACAGGATCCAGCAGTTAGATGGTTCTACATTTGCTAGTCTGACTAAGCTAACTACGTGTGAGCTGTACACCAATCCTTTTAACTGTTCCTGTGAGTTATACGGTTTCGTCAAGTGGCTGTCGACGTTCCCAAATAGGACCAATGAGCGGATGGTGTGTGATACTCCATCTGGTGTGTCTGGCTACAGTTTATTGAGCCAAAATCCCAATGATCCAACTTATAAGAACGCTCTGCACATGCTAACCACTGTATGTACTGATGATTATGTCACCCCATTCATTGCCATACCGACGGAGCCCACGATGCTCCCGCCAGACGCTACACTGTGTGAGCTGGACGACTGTCCATCTGGCACCGAACCCGAGAACATAACCATCAGTACAACATACACGGATCTCAAAGTTAAACCTCTTATGAAGCTGAAACAAGTGACCAACACGGGTGCTACGATTTCAGTTCAAATTCCTTACCCCTTTAAGAAAATGTACATCCTGGTCCTTTACAACAATAGCTTTTTCACAGATATTCAAAATTTAAAAGATATACAAGAGGACATTGAGTTTAAAAATCTTAAACCACATACTAATTATACTTACTGTGTTGCTTCAATCCGTAACTCTCTTCGTCAAAACCACACCTGTCTAACCGTGACCACTGGCCCCTGGGGCGGGAAAGAACGAAATACCAACAATGCGACAGCCACGCATTACATCATGACAATCCTCGGCTGTTTGTTTAGTATGGTGGTTTTCCTCGGGGTGGTGTACTACTGCTTGAGACGCAAGCGGAAGCAAGATGAGAAGCACAAAAAAGCAGGTAGCATGAAGAAAAACATAATGGAATTAAAGTACGGACAAGAGCTGGAGGGAGGGACTATATCTCGTATGTCACAGAAGCATTTGTTAGCCGGGGAGAGCATGGCGCGTATGCCGTACCTGCCGCCAGGGGCAGACTTGGACCAGTATAAGTTCCAGGAGATCAGTGACACGCCTAAAATAATGAAAGGAAATTACATGGAGGTGAGGGGTATGGACCACCATGATCGAAGGGAGTGTGAGATGGGGATGCCCGGAAATAGCCAAGGATCTGTGGCGGAGATTTCTACCATCGCGAAAGAGGTAGATAAAGTCAATCAGATCATTAACAACTGTATTGACGCACTGAAGTCTGAGTCCACCTCTTTTCAGGGCGTCAAATCGGGTGCGGTGTCGACAGCAGAGCCCCAGCTGGTGCTTTTGTCTGACCATCCCCAAAACAAATCCGGTCTCTTGTCCCCGCCGTATAAGGACAGCTACCACCATTCCCTTCAACGGCATCGCAGTTCAGATGCTTCTCCCAAGAGACCAAGCACTGCTACCGGAGGCCCCATGCGCAGTCCAAGGCCATACCGCTCCGAATCCAAGTACATCGAGAAGACCTCCCCGACCGGAGACACCATCGTCACGGTAACGCCAACCGCTGCCATCTTGCGCGCCGAAGCGGAGAAAATGCGGCAATACAGCGATCACAGGCATTCGTACACCGACGCTCAGATAGAGGAGCTGGAAGGGCCAGATGTGCACAAGTCCATGTTGGAGCCGCTAACTCACTCGCGGTCCAGAGACTTAGCGTACTCCCAGTTGTCATCACAGTATCATAATCTGAGCTACTCTTCCAGCCCAGAGTACTACTGCAAACCCTCGCACAGTATTTGGGAGAAGTTTAAGCTGCACCGAAAGAGGCACAAAGATGAGGAGTACATGGCAGCAGGACATGCACTCAGGAAGAAAGTGCAGTTTGCAAAAGATGAGGATCTGCATGATATTTTAGACTACTGGAAAGGCGTGTCAGCGCAGAATAAATAATGAACTCTTTAGCTGTTTTTAATGGACATCCTGTTGCAGAAATGACACAAGAACCTCATGAGTAAAGACATGAAAACTTCTGCATTATATTCAACCACATATTTACTTTTGACTGTGAGAGAAATGGCTATTTATCAGAGATTTATGTAAAACAGCGGGGAGAATACTTTTATCTATTAAAGAGAATAAAATATATGGGAAATTATAATATATGTTATCATGGATTCTAGGTTTTTGGGTATCGCATGGCCAAGTCCTGTGACAGTGGATTTGACGTTGTGTAAACTACTATAATTATGAACATATGTCTACTGAAACCTCAATATTTTTTGAAGAACTATCCGGATCGTTGATTTCAAATGAACTTTTTTCCTTTTCCTGAATATATTTACTTCAAATCTATGTACAGATATGGTTTTATATATTTCTGTGTACATTGAAAAGTGTTTGTGAATGGAAATTAAGGATTTTCAAGGAAGAGCTGTTCTTTTTTTAGGTGTTGCTGAAGAATGGTATAAGCCTTGTTCAAACCTGCCTGACATCTCACCGCCTCTTTTTTTTTATTTTTTTTTTTTTATTGATACAACATTACATGGTTTATTCACTAATACATATTACAGTATTTGCATAGTAGACAGATAGTTACGTGTGTGAGCAGTATGGTCACAGATGCCAGTCTCATAAGCCACTTGTATCTTTATTACCAAAGTAGAACAACACAAATGTTTACAATATTTCTGCAAGGTTTGTGAATCGGATACAAGGAAAACCCATTTTGAATTTATTTTAATTAGAATTTGAAAAAAATCTCGAGACAATACACTTTCTTTGCTAGATGGAGCCAGAGTATTCCCACTGGATGAATGTAATAGATACTTATCGTTATCCGTCTATGGCAGCTTTCGTGTATATTTAGAAAGATATTTATTTGGTTATGTTTCAAACTGTATTACTTTCATTTGCTTCTTTGAGTGTACTATAACTAATCTGTGACAATGACGAGAAAGTTCTTTGGATTTCACGCCTTAGCGCTTGATACAATATTTGTTTTTTAGACACAAGGCTGGTCTTTTGTACATAAAAAGTTAGTATGTTAGTAAAAATATGAGAATGTGACTCTTAATCCTCCGACTGACTGGCTGTGAATTTGTACATGATGAAATACTTTTGACTAAATATTTTAAAACACTGTCTATGAAGATGTTTATATAACAGATTTCAAACAGGCTCATGGCAATTTGTCTCCTCCAGTATCTCTGAATTAGTAAATAGGAGGCCACACTGTGTACTAAGAGGTGATTAGGGTTTATTAAGAATTTAAAGGGAGGGTCACTCGAGGTAAAGCAGTCATGAAAAATGCACTGGACTTTCCCAAGTGTAAATTAGAAAACACAGCTATGTCCAAAATGTATTATTTATAATCTCACTCTAACCACACTAACAAGAGCTCACTGTCTAAGCCACATAGAAACTCATGTAAAAAGTGCATTGTGTAACTTTTCTGGTGGAGAGCTCGTCAAATGCTTTTCTCCATGGAGCTGTTATTCCTTTGTCTGGAATGTTTCACAGAATGGTCTTAAACCTTCCTAGCTTTATGGAGACTAAACTGGATCAAGTTACAGGTCAAATCCGTGGAGAGGCAACCTCGTTAACAGTCAGAGTACCTGTTTTTCTAGGATTTTTTGAACTATAAATCCACCTGTAATTGCATAAATGTAAATTGTAATTGTATTGGTAGAGCTATTTAATGTCATACTGTGGAACATTTCAAGCAGAGCAATGACAGACCCATAGACCCGTTTACACTAAAACGAATCCGCGTATCACCACATTGGAAACGATCTGTGTCCACACATGTAGTTTCTGTGTCCGCAATCCTTTCTTATCCACACAGCTTTGAGCATGTGTTTACGTTGTACAGAAACAAAACTTAAAACCACATGGCTAATTTGAGCGCTCAAAACAGATCGCTATTGTGCGCTGATGCGGTTCAGCTTCTGTTGGACTAAAGGACACGACTCAGTGGAATATATGTGTTCTTTCTGTGACAGAGGGATGTTCTGCTAATGCTGAGTCTGTTCTGTGTTTCTGTCGCGATGGAGATGGTTCATATTAAACTTTTCAGAGATTATACGTCTGCAGGTCATACGCATAGACCGTATATATGAACATATGCTAGCCTCTTAGCCTTTTGGCGGTGAATTAGCTACTTTGCGGCGCATAGACCTACATCAGCTTATCAGTGTTTTCAGCGTCCACACGGTGCAGGATCAGATCCGTACTCAGATGAATTCGTGGGAGCTGGCAGATTAGTGTGGACGAACACTGCATCCTCAACGAAAACGATTCAAATGTGTACTAGTGTGGACAGGGCCATTGAAACAAGCTGGTGACGGTCCCCCAACCAGAAAGTTACATAGTGCACCTTTAAGAAACACTTTACTAGCAGTGGAGGAGGCAGTGGTGTTATTTACCATCACCAAAAGATTATTTAAGATTTCTTTGTTTTGATCTGTAATTAGTTAAAACGAAGCTCAGAAGAGAAATGTGTAGTCATAGGAAATAAGTTGCAGTAGTGGTGAAGGACATCCAACTGTACTTGTGTACAGACTGAATGACCCTGAGTAAACTATACATCAGTTACCATATCTAAGAACTGTTTGAACTACAGATGGTGTTAATGTAACTATTGTTTATTATTGAATACAGCACTCAGGTATATCAATGACATTTGTTCAGTGTTTTTAAGATGTGTTTTCACTTTTGTTTATGATTAATTAGATACAGGGGTGGCACCAGGGGGGGCTTGAGAGGGCACTAGCCTCACCTATGACCAATGCTCCCCTGAAGACTTTTACCCCACTTTCATAGCACATCCAGTCTCAACTAAAATGTGCAAATGGCAACTGCAGAGGGTCACTACAGGGATCTAACTACATTTAAACTGGTAGGGAGTACACTCTGTTGTTAAACAAATCTATATTTACCTGGTAAGTAAGTACCCACATTGAAGAAACCCTGCTTAGCTCCTACAACTAAAAAAGTCTGGCACCACCCCTGGTTATTAGATTTATTTCTGCTTAATGACTGTTTAATAATACTAGTGTCATTTCACATTGATTCAGATGAACAGTATACTACAAATCAGCCACAGTTAATGAGACACTTTATGTTGAAATGTATAACTTGGGTCAAAGGAATTACTTATTTTTTTGATTAAGATCTAGTACATTTTCATTGTAGATCCAAACTCTGTCCTCTAATGATTGTTATTCCTGAGCCTGATGAGAAAATGTTATGTAAACAACTAGTGTTAACTTGACTGACTTGTTCAACCGCCTTAAGATTTTTCAAACTGTAAATCTACTTAATTTTGTGCTGTTTCTTTGTTTGCTGAGATACTGTTGAGAATATTAATTTGTTATTTTTTATAAAACAATTCTGTAAATCATGAGAGCTGTCAGGTTTTTAGTTCCTTTAGCGAGTTAGCATTTTTTATAATGCATATTGTAGCACTTATGTGTAAAAACTGGTTTAAGAGTGTTGAGAAAAACTTCAGAGAGTCGAGGAAGTGTTGTTCAAAGTGCATCAAAACAAACAAGAGCACAACTATGTGTTTTGTTTTTTTTATTTCCTAATACTCTGTTATTATCTGCTTTCAGACAAAGTACTGTGAAATAAAGTTAAGGGTGCACATACAGTTACACGGGCGGCCATCTTTATTGAGAAACTATATTGAGCCTAGATTAGCTCATATGAAGCCTTTATTATATAATTACAGTGTTTACATGGGGGGAGGGCCATAGGAAAATCATAGTGCTACTGCCTGACAATTATTCTCAGCCATTGTTCTTGATCACTCACTTTCAGAAGCATATGCTCATATGGCGTAGACTTTTTCCCAGTAGGGGGTCCATCACCATGAAGTTGATATTGTTTTGCCTTGGATGTTCCAGTTTTTAAGTTTTTAAGTTTTTGTTATAGTTTTGATCACTTACAACAAAGGGGCCCAGTTTCTATGTTGAAAGATGCTGGATTCTGCATAATCAACATCAGAATATGGATCGTGTCTTTAAAAAGTTTGTTTCTCTGTTTCGAAGGAGCGTTAAACTGTGCTGCCCCTATCTAACTTTTCTGATGAATTAAATGCCATACTGTGGAACATTAGAATCAAAGCAAAAACATCTTCATGACACAACAAGCAGATGGTGGACCTTCTGCTTCCAACAGTTATATATACATCTTCAAATTATTATGCATTTTGGAGTATAAAAAGTCAATAATGTGGTCAATAGAAAAATCTTAAATTTTTCATGTGTTACCTTGTGATATTTTTAACATTGCTCTCCTGCTTTAAATTAGAGGTAAGGAAAAACAAACAGGTCGACACAGACTGGCCACGCTGCATTCAGATCTCCACCAGCTTTCTCAAAAACACCTCCCCTGAATGAAAAAAAAGTTGGTTGGAAGTTTATGTCCTACTTCTGTTTTGTCCATACGGTGATTTACAATGTAACTTGGCAATAACTATTAGAGTGATGGAGTCATTTTTCTCCTTCACAGCTTGTTTACAGTCAGGGGTCTACAGTCTCATACAGCCAAGTCTACGGTGGTCTGACCTCAGCCTGATGGGAAATAATGCCAAGTCAACGGCCGGTGTTTTGATTTGTTGTTATTGCACAACACTAAACAACAGTGGTTAGCATTAGTACTGTGTAAAGTTATACTGGTTTCACAGCTACTTCCAAACTTTATTCTTTTTATGGAGTATATACTAGTAGCTAAAGAAAATGAAGTTCTACAGTGTGCTAATATATTCATTTGGCAAACTACTGACCTTTTGTGGCTAGATTACAGATTATTATAGAAAGGTCATAGAAACAATGATACAGAATTCCCTCATCTTTCTTTATTTCATTTTGATCATCACACGCAGTGCATTAATAGGAAAATGAACATAGACATAACAAAAAATCACTCAAAAAGTAACTAACACACACACAAAAGTTAATAAATTAAGTTTTTTTTTTCTT